ACACAGAGAAACATCAATCGATTTGTTGCCTCTCACATGCATGCCATGATCTTGGTTGCCTCCCACATGTGTACCAGGATCGAGCCCGCAACCAGAATCAAACCCGGGACCCTTCAGTCCGCAGGCCGAGGCTCTATCCACTGAGTCAAACCAGCTAGTGCTCGAACTGTTGGCTTCTAAATCTCTGATAAACCTAAGATATATCCTCTTTCCCCAGGATGAGTGCTGATATCAAGGTCATAAGGGAAATGACCCCACCTCACCTCAAGCTTGGTTAACTTAAAGTCACTGGTGCATGAATGCCAGATGATCAGGAACTCCAACACAGGCCATTTGGGAAAATTAATAAAGCAAGTCGCCTTATATTTCTTAAGAAAGACAATAAATTTATTTTAAGTTTTTCTAAGTATGCTCTTTCATATCATATAGAAACAAAATATATAAAAAATTTTTTAATCCCCTCTCCAAAAATAAATAAATAATCCCTCTCTAGGACTTGGAGCTTAATTCAGGTCCCCTTGAGCATAAGGTGGGCTGGGTGACTTACTTCTACCAAACAGAGCACGGAAAGGAGACACTTGTCAGACACAACCTTAGCCAAGTGGTAAAGGTGAAGGTTGCCGGTATAAGGAATGTTGGTACCATCTACTCTCTGATCTAATGGGATGAAAAGGGCACCTCCCCTCTACAGCATGTAATCATGAGAAACATCACGCAAAGCCAGAATGATGAACATTCTACAAAATGCTTGACTGGTAGTCTTTAAAAGTTATAGAAATGTAAAAAATATATTAAAAATATAAAAAAAAAGTGTGGAATTTCTGAAGAAGAAGGAAAGACGGAAAAGCTGTCACAGACCAGAGGAGACTAAGGAGTCCTGGCAATTAAATGTCACGTGGTATCCTGGATTAAATCTTGGGAGAGAAAAACTGGGGCAAGTTGAGTGAAATCTGTAATTTAGTTATTAGTATTCTATTAAAGTTAATTTCTTAGTTTTGAAAAATGAGCTGTGGTTGGTTATGTAACAGGTTAATAGCAGGGGAAGTTGGATGAAGGGGATAGGGAACTTTCTGTACTACCTTTATAGTTTATTACTCAAAATTATTCCAAAATTAAGAGTTTATTACTAAATGATGATATTCTCACTATTTTTAAATATAGGAGTATGCTTAAAGATCAAGCAGCAGTTACATCCTTGAATTTTATAGTGCCTATTAATTTAACCTTCAGAGCAGATAGTGATGGTGTTTACTAAAGAATATTTTGAATTGTTAATGCTCAGCACTGTCTAATTTAGAGTAGTTGCTAAATAAACACTTGATGCACGAGTAATCGGATCATATTTGGTATATTTTTATGTTGCAAATTCAGCACTCGGGGCTCTTTCCCTATCATTTATCCACATAATCTGGATCATCAGGCTTCATTCTGAAGGTGTGTTAACTACGAGAAACAAATAGCACTCTTTCACATGAATTACCCTTTCAAATACACGCATAAGCCTTTATGAAAATAACCTAAGCAATGTAATATTTAGGATCATTATGTTTAGAAATCAACATAAAATCTCAATAAGTTTTAAACAAATGAACTAATTATACGAACAGAACACTTTTCCCCATAATGTATACTAATCACAAATTTATTTCCAGGCATAAAGGAAGAAAGTGATTATTTCTAATAATTTATTATTCTTATCTTGGAGTGAATCCCGTAGAAGGATAACCCTGCCATGAACCAACTTGATATTAAAATCTTTCCCTGTGTTTTGGCATTATATACCAACAGCTTTTTTTGTGTGTTTCAGTTGTCACAGGTTTTTAATAAAAGTAAAGCTTTGGCTCATAATTTCCCTCTTGACTTGTTCTCATTATGGATGGAAAAAAAATGGGGAGATGAAAAACATATAATGCATCAGCAGCTGGACCTTCCCCACCACTGTTTTGTTGTTAAAACTAATATGATCTTAACATTTTGGGAAGGTAATTAATAGGACCTTTTGCAATTCTCCCTTGATTTTTTATCTCGGGTTTATTTCTTTGCTTGTTCTTTGTAAAATGAAATTAGCATTGAATTTTTCAATCCTCTTTAGACACCATTTGCAACCTGCCTCTAACATAATCTGAAAGCATGGAAAAAAATTTCCAGAGTGATTTGTATTTTGTACACACAAACAATTTTAAGCAGTTATGAGGACATCACTTCTTTGTATTTTTAAAAGTTTTCTGTGTTTTGCCATATCCAAGATATGTTTTTAAGTCATGAGAAGAAAATGGTTGGTCCCTTTGAAAGCCAGTATGTCAGCAAAAACACTTAAATTGCAAGAAAGCTAAAACTGTTAGGCTACCAGCTGAAAGAAACTTACCTAATACTAATTAAACTATTAAGTAGTAAGGTAAGGAACTCAGTAGTATGGACAGTCTAAAGATATATAAAATAAATATCAAAAATATAAGTCTTTGTTTTACTATGGTTGCAAATATCAAAAAAATTCTATATGTGACATGGCACCAGAGTTAAGTTAGGGTTTTTCAAAATGCTGACACGCCGAGCTCAAAAGGTTCGCCATCACTGGTCTAAAGGAACTTATCATGTTACAAATGTGTAGCTTCTTTTTAACTAGCAACTGGAAATCCCAGGTAACTTGTTCACAGTTGGAAGTTAAGATTCATGAGATGAAGACTGAGAAGCAGATGATACTAAGGTTTGTCATGCTAAGAATTCTTTTTTATTGGATTTGTAATGTGTTTAAGCCCAAAAAGTATTTTTGCTTTTTCTTATTCTTAAATGTTAACCTCAAAACAGACAAATAAACAAGAAAAGAAAAAAAGAAGAGAAAGATGGGTTGAGCACGGTATGAACACCTGGAGATCAGCTTTGAGATGGCTCTAGGAGAGAGGACAGAGCATTAAATCCTGGGAAGACCTTGGCCCACAAAGCTTTGTGGTTTCGCACTGAGAAAAGTTGACATCAACCTAAGCTCCCCTTGTTTTATTGGCTTCCAACGGACCAATTAAAAGCTGGTGTCTGGGTGTCCTCATTGCCCAAATGCTTAGAGAACCAGGAGACAAAGGAGCAATGGAATCGCTGTCTGCTGCATCTAGACCAGAAATCCCTAGAGGTCGAGAACACGTCACCTTCTAAACCAGCGGTTCTCAACCTGTGGGTCGCGACCCCTTTGGGGGTTGAACGACCCTTTCACAGGGGTCGCCTAAGACCACCCTGCATGTCAGATATTTACATTACGATTCATAACAGTAGCAACATTACAGTTATGAAGTAGCAACGAAAATAATTTTATGGTTGGGGGTCACAACATGAGGAACTGTATTTAAAGGGCCAGAAGGTTGAGAACCACTGTTAGCCACCCATTAAGATGGAACTCAATAACATCTGTGAACTTACAGAGAAAAAAGGCATCACATTAAGGTTCTATCTGTTAGAGTGAGGAAATTTAGGTAGAGCAAACTACACGCATCCAGTGAAATAAGGTTGTAGGGGACATATATGAAAGATTGAGTAAAAAAACAACAACAATATTAGAATCACGTCAGTGATTCACATTCAAGTGTAGAATGGACAGGATGTTCTGGAACCTAACACATAATTCCCCACTAAACAGTTAAATACAATAATTCAAGGAAAAACAATTAATTTTGATTTTTAATTAATGGCCTAAAATATCAAGTACAAAATATACCTTAAAGTACTGAGAAAAAAAAATGACAAATATGGTGGAAAATATAGTAATGTGGATAGTGGATCCAGAAGACCAGAGTTCTGGAAAGAAGCAAATTTAAAAAAAAAAAGAAAAAAAGAAAAGAAAAGAAAGATGTTAAAATCTAGAAACTTAGGTCAATAAAATTGTATTTAGTAAGAGTTTATTATGCATAGGACAGTTCACAAACTGGGAGTCTTCAAATAAACAGTGGAATGAAGCTCAGAGGCATGCAATAGGAAAACTTATATAGTGGAAATCTGGAAGCTTTTTAAGCTTTATAATGATTAGTTATAGCATTGAGATTTTTTCCATGACAGGCGACTGGTTAAAAGTGGTTATCTTAAAATACAGCTAAAAATGCAGCTAAAGAATTAATTTTCTCCATTTCCTTCTCAAATTTTGGAAAAGCTCAAACTTTTTAGTGCCTCCTAGCTTCATCTTCTCTCCCTCAAAGCATCAGACTCTATCCTTAATGCTTTCCAATAGTCCTGGGGCATAGAAACTCTTTACCTCTGATAATTAATTGCTACCTCTCTTATCATTACCCCTATCAATGATAGCATAAGACCAAGTAACATCCTTAAGATATAAAAGCTAGCTATTTTCTGGGGTGGAGATAGAGAAAGGGGTTGCTAACAACAGCTTACTTCTTTCTTAATAACTCATTTTGTTGGATGTGAGTAGGATCAATGAATCTAATTTGTTCAGAAGAAAGCTCTGAACAAATTGGAAGACTTGGCATTTAGGGATGTACTTTCATTGGTCTTTAATTCCCTGCAGAATATAATAGAGGGAAGCTTCAGTTAATTGGAATGTATGGAGTATGGTAATTAACAAAACATTTTGATTTTAATATTTACCAATTTTTTACTATCTTAATCTTAATGATACATTGTAGTTAAAATGCATTTAATCTCTCCTTGGTGCTTGGTTACTATCTATCCTTAGATTTACTGCTCTTAATTTTAGAGCTGAACATATATTGATTCCAAGATAGCCTAAAAAGTTACCTAAAATATATTATCATGGAGTCGTAAAATATTTTTCAATTAAAGAAGGATAAGGATCCTGCAGAAATTATAGAGAAGAATTATGTGCTTGGGAACAAAACTATGGACTTCTCCAGGGAAAGTTTTTTAGTAGGCTTTATTTTCGGTTTGTGACTCCTGGGAGATCATAGAGACAGAGAAGCCAAATGGATTTGGTGGCCTTTTCTAAAAGCAGGTTTTTCTTTTTCTTTTTCTTTTTAAAGAAGTCAGCAGTCCTTCTCCCTTTCTAGTTTTAGGAAGAACAGACCATTTGTACAAAATTGGGAATGGCCAATCCTCCCTCTGGTTTTAACCCAAGGACCAGTGGATGACTGTCTCCCATATGAAATCCTCTGAGCTCATGTGTTGGACTCTGCCAGGACGTAGAGAAAGGGGCTGGAAAGAGATGACAAAGGTAAGACAAGGGGTGTAGAGGCACATGTCAAAAATAGATGAGCTTTCTATGCTTCTGGGAAACAGTGTAAAAGGCTGGCTGGGGTTAAACAATCATTGTGATACTTAGTTTAGAAATGAAGAGGATTGAGTCTTAAGAACCGGAATGACACTTTTAATTACTAGATATGACAGGAAAAAAAATGAACAATCAGACTGAACTGTCGCTAAAGATGACTGCCATTCACCAGAAAAGGACTGAGGGGCAGATAACAGACCAGAGTTGGTAGAAGTTATTGGAAAAATAAAACTGTTCCATGTTTATACCCCTAAGAGTCAACTATTCAGTCAAACTGATTATACTTATTTGCACACTGTCTCTTTGCTCTAAAAATGAGTGTCAAAACAACTCTGATTAATTACAGTCTGGTGAATGGGTTCTATTTCCTAGAGGTTTTATTGGTCATTGATGTGTGGAGATGGCACCTTCAATATATAGGCTAATTATTTCCATTATTCATGGAATAAACTAAGACCTAGGGAAGGACAAAATGTAGCTATTTAGATTTAATGCTAGCAAACATCTATAAAAATTACTGCAGTGGGGGAAAGAGTTGAATTAAATATAAAGAGATGTTAGTAAAACTTTATAGTCAGCATTGTGTATGTGTGTGAGAGCCTAATGATATTTTTAAGCTATCTTCAGGTAAATGAGCTAAATAAAAAACAGATTTTTAAGATGTGTTTATCAGCTAATATAGCACCAAATGACTCAATTTAAAATCTAAGGTTCAAGATGCATGTGTCTAAATTGGTAATATATTCTGGGCCAGATCTTTTATATTTTACTATTTTTGATCTGAATTCAATAAATATTTTTAAGCCCATGATAAAATTGTATCATACTAGCATAACTCCTTGATGGTTCAGGACATCTAATTTCAAAGCATTTATTTTGATATCCCCATGAATTTACTCATTCCTACTATTTCAGGTATTCTAGTTTTCAGGTAAACCTGCTTCTAGCAAAGTCTTTTAACCAGGTATTTTAGCAATTATATTATCCTATATAATAAAAGGCTAATATGCAAATAGACCGAACAGCAGAACTACCAGTCTCTATGACATGCACTGACCACCAGGGGGAAGACGCTCAATGCAGGAGTGCAGCAGCAGTGGCGGGAGCCTCTCCTGCCTCTGCATCAGCACTAAGGATGTCTGACTGATGGCTTAGGCCCGCTCCTCAGGGGGAGCAGCCCTAAGCCATCAGTCAGACATCCCCCGAGGGCTCCTGGACTGCAAGAGGGCACAGGCGGGGCTGAGGACCACCCCCCCTTGAAACCCTGAGTGCACAAATTTCATGCACAGGGCCTCTAGAGGTTCTCTACCAAAATCCCACCTTATGCCTAGGTTCACAAATCCTACTCTAGAAATGCTTATTCATATAAGTTAATAATCCTATATAATACAAGAGAAACATGCAAATTAACCATCACTCTGTCACTCCGCCACTCTGCTACACCCACCAGCCAATCAGAGTGACTATGCAAATTAATCCAACAAAGATGGTGGTTAATTTGCATACGCAGGCGCAGAGCGAAGACTGAAGACGACTAAAGATGGCGGCGGTCACGGAGCTGGAGCGAGCAGGAGGCTTGGGCTGCTCCCGGCGATGGAGGAAGCCAAACTTCCTGCCGGCCCTGGGCTCTGCTCAAGGAGGGGCTGGGGGCCTGGGTCACTGGGGGAGACCAAAGGCCTGGGTCCCGGGTGCCAGAGGAAAACCGGTGCCGGCAGCCAGGGGAAGGAAGGCCCATTGCACGAATCTTCGTGCAACAGAGCACTAGTAATCATAGAAAAGGATTAAGTAAAACTATTTTTTTTGATTTCCTAATTTATTATATCTGTTGACATGCACTAATTTCCAAATTATGAATTTCTCAGTGATAATACTTTTATATAAAATATTTTAAAATAAAAAATAGAAACATAAAGATTTGCCATTATGACTTGGTGAAGGATAGCAACTTATGCCACATTTTTTGTAGTAAGGATCTGTACCTTAGTAATTCATTTTTAAGTGTATACTAGTAATACTTACAATTTTTCAAGATACATTTCTACAGATCTACTACTTTATCTCCAGTGTAAGCAATATTATCTGTGGTCTAAAGGCATTCAAAAAAGGCCTCAAAAGAATTCATTGTTGAATTTTCTTTGATAACTTGATGTAAATTCAATAAAACCAATGGGAAAAATGAAAGAATTCTCCTAAATAATTAGAAATAATTTACCAAAGTTCACTGGAATAAAAGTGTGCAACTTCGGGTGATCATAAAAAACAAGAGATACTTTATTAGTATTGTTTAGTTAGAAATTTGTAAAGCAAGAAGACTTTCTAAAATAATTTTAAAAGTAGGGTAGTCCAACTGTGCTTAAGTTTCCTTAAGACTCAAAACTAGAAAGACATGGTAGATGTAGATTCAATCCAAGTGGTCTGCTCTTCTGCTTCTGTAAGTAGGAGACTTAAGAAATTTTGAGACAAGATCTAGTCAATTAGCCTATAGCCAACTCACTTCAGAGAAATCTGTCTTCCCATTCTCTGTGAATAGCAGTTGCTGCCAACACATGGTAAGACCTTCCTGCCACTCAGACTAAGATTTCACTGGAAAGGTAGGTGGTTCATTTCAGGGCTGTGCTGTTCCATGCAGGCTTCCTCCTCACGGCCATGGTTTAGGGCAGCATCCTCTCTCTGCTGGAAGATGCCAACAGCTGTTTCTAGGTTTACTTCCTCAAATGCATTATTCTCTCTGCAGCCAGAGGACCGTTCAAATCATAACTCTGGTCATTCGTTTGATACTTAAATACTTTTAAAGCCTTTTTGTTGTTCTCAGGACCAAGTTCGAATATTTAGTCATTGGTGTTCTGGCTCCTGCTTAACTTTCTAGATTTTTTCTTAAAGTCCTATGTAGTCTTCTGCACACTGAGCTATCTGTAATTCCTCTAATGTGTGCCTCTGCCTCTGCACCTCTCACTGTCTCTCACATGTCAATGTCTTGGCACCTGAAGTTCTTGAGCATACCAATTTTTTCAGGCAGCACAGGAATTAGGAGTATGGGAACATTTTCTGCATAATAAAAATATAGCTTGAGCCCAGCTGTGTGGCTCAGGGGATTGAACATTATCTCACACACCAAGAGGTTGCTGGTTCAATTTCCAGTCAGGGCATATGCCTAGGTTGCAGGCTCAATCCCCAGTAGGGGACGTGCAAGAGGCAGCTGATCAGTATTTCTCTGTCATAGATATTTCTATTTTCTCTCCCTCTCCCTTCCTCTGTCTCTCTCTCTCAAAAAAAATCAATAAAAATAGAGCTTGATAGATGTTATACATTTTGTATATCTATCATATACTCATATTCCTATAAAGTCCTTTTCTTCTATTATATTGATAGATCATTGATAAATGATTTGATAAATAGCACAGCAGCCAACACTTTCTCATTCATAAGTATTGATTCCTGTTTAGATAATTTGCATTTATATATACTGTACTTGGTTATTTTTCCTTCTCTCTATTGACCCTCTACCCTCCAATAAATTAAATTTCAGACGAATGTGGGAACATGCAATACTAGGGAAAATTATTTGCTACATTTATTTCCTATGACTGCATTTCATTTTTAATATTGGAGCTATAAAAAAATGGACCTTTGAGCCTGAGATACATTTTAGCATTTTGATGTGACTGATACTATTGTTCAGCAAATATCTATGGAACCACATAAAACACTAAAACTCCCATTCAAGAAGCTGGAAAATTTGTTGACTTCCTCTATGTTTTGTTTTTTAAACTGCTGTCTAAAATGTCCAGGTATCTAAGTACTAGTTTCTTACTAAATAGATGAAAGGAAACTAAAAGCAGTTAATAAAAAACATCCATAGAAAATATTGACATGGTTGAAAAAATATTGAATACACGCAAAAACAGTGAGTCCATAGTCACTTCAATTTGGTCACAATTGAGAGAGGGGATATGTCGAGAAAAGAAAATGAAAGACCTTTTCAATTCCAATTACGCCTGGGTCATGGGAGTATTAAGAACTACAATTTGCTTAGTGCTTTTCAAGAATAAATATTTTCCTGTTGTCATCTGTAAACAATTAAACACAGTACATGTTTTAATTATACATACAAAAAACAAACAGTATTTTCAATTAAATGAAAGGAAGACAACATGAAAAAAATTGGAAAACTACTTACTCAGATTTGCACCCATTGCTATTTACATGAAGTCAAAATTAAGCAGTAAGTTAAGTCTTTAACTCCAAATGCAAAGAACTCCTCTTAACTTTAGAATTGTGAAACATTAGGATGTTAAAGGATCTTTAAAGCATTTACTGCTATTATGATAATGATAGGAAATTTGAGCTTTGAGGACAGGAAACTGAGATTCCAAGCTTAATGGTGCGGGGGAAAAAAAAGAAAAAATATATGGTGTAAGATTTGTCCAGATAATATTCAGCTTGGAAGATAACTTCTCCCCCTAAATTCAATAAGGTCTTTAATATTCTTTCCATTCCACCTGCAGAACAAAAGACTGAAAGGATTTTGCAGAGCATATTTGAATCTAAGGAATTTTGCATATCTTGAGATTTTAACTTGCCGCAGGTGAAATAGAAAAAGAGGAAAAGAACCGCTAAAGCCATAAAATACACTTGATCAAAACCTGTATTCAAAGTATGAAGTTTTTATATTATAAGGAATAGAAATGAAGCAGTTGTAAAGTCTCTACAATTAGCATATCATTTCTGATATTGCCATAGGACAGTGTCCTCAAGTTTAGAAAAGAGAGAGAAATAGACCAGAAAAATTAGAGAGAATGCAGAAGCAATACATATAACAAATTATCTTACTTACCCCTGAGCCTTCATCACTATTGTATTTAGAAGCTGATAAGTTTTATTTAGTAAATATTTGCACACATATATTTGGATTTTTGTATATACACATACGTGGGAGTGTGCAT